TAGAAATTTGTCCCATAAAAAAAATATACGGTATGATCAGAATTATTATTATTATTTCAATACCCTTTAATGCGAAATTCAAATTCTATTTATAGATCAGGGCTTATATACCGGCTTTAGTGTTTTATATAACGTTTCATTTCAACCAGGATATTTACAAGGTTGTACAATAACGGACTATTGTCCACTAATTGTAAATAAAATAATATTTGCGAGTGGAGCCGTAGGAAGTGCGTACAGGCAGTACGATGGACATCTACTTCGTAGCGTGGACCTCGGTGTAGAAGAACTAATGATGATCTGTTTTTTTTTTTTTTTTTTTTAATTTAATTAGTCAGGATGTCTTGTCTGCAGTATCTTGGGCTTGGAGTGCCCTTTAACCTGCATGAAGATTGCTATTATTAGTTTGTGGATATCTGTGTGGTTTGTTTGCATAATGAGGTTAGGCTTGCAGGAAAAGTTTCAAATAACCTGCAGGTTCCTTGATACGGTTTGAATCTGAAAGTTTTGGTTCGGGTTGTTCATTAGGTTATTGCGTGTTTAGATAATTTGACCTTGACTTTGAGTGGTATGTTTTCGACTTGATAGTTGCCTATTTCCCTGATGAGGGAGTTTTGATGGTTGTTGTTGTAGGCTCCGGGTAGTGAATTTTGAATATACTGCTTGATCGTGGGGATATTGGCTAATTGGAGCTGTGCTACGGTTGTGTCCCTCTGTTTATTGAGAATAATTCTAAGGAATTTGTTTTGTATAATTTGTATTTTGTTGATGTGTACTTTGACAGCAGAGGCTCAAACTTGATATCCATAAGTAATTATTGGTCTTATGCAGGTTAGGTACAGTAAGATTTTGATATTTTTCTTGAGTTTGCTACTTCGAACTATGAGAGGGTATATCCTGGATAGGCGAGAATAGTTCTTTTTTTCTATGGCTTTAGCCCATATGAGTTTGTGTTTGATTTGTGCCTTATATACCTCCGACTCCCTTTGTGTCTTTTCCGAGTCGAAGGATCTGAAAGTTTATTGCTTAACTGGAGTCCGCACGGTCAGGGCCATGAGGGTTTTTTTTTTTTTTTGACAATTACCTCAAATACAATAGCCTTGGTACTGCATTCAGGGTCCACGTCGTTGAGGACGACATATTTATTATATTATTTATGTTATTGCCTGGATCGTGTCCCCTACACCGGCTCAATTAGCAAAACAGTTTCATTTGGCTAATTCGTGAAACAATCTTTCAATTTAATAACATGTAAATCGAAACAGCACATCGAATTAATCTATGTGCTTGACGAAAGACAGAACACACGTTTAAAATTATCTAAATTTCGTTAGAAACTAGAATTAATTGTCGCGTTGTGACAATTTTGTTACCAGTGGCCAATAACAAAGTCGTGGCGAGAGGAAAGAATTAAAAAAGAAAAAAAACGACTGATTTTTATTTTATTTTAATGTATTTATTTCAAATCTTCGTGAATCTTTTAATAGGATCAATATTCAATGCATGTAGCAAGATTCAAGATTAAAATTAAAAAAAATTCCTGGGGAAATGTTACACAAATTTCCAGTCTTTGTTTGCTCTTGACTCTCGCTGTTACTCGCGATTTCATTGATCGAACAAGGATCGATACCATTCGCGTGATCCTGACCGTGAGACGCGAATTCATAAATCCGTGCAGAGCGATTAATTGTCGTCTTTCAATGCCCGCGCGCGCGCATATATTTGTGCGAACAGCGCGGATACCGGCAGAGTCCTGTCCTGTCACGAGATTTCATCAGTTTTATGGACGACAACGTATAATGGGAGAATGGTGAACCCGGTGGTGCGCGCATCGGTGAATTTCTCGGGAGAGGGACCGCTACGTTTCCGCCTAAGCGAGACGACGCCATCAACAATGGGACAGGATTTTCGAGGCGATAACGCCGATGAAAAATGTATCGCGCCAAGATGAAAATGCATTGTAACGATCTGAACGGCGTGAAGCGTTTTCCCCTCATTGTCTAGCAGCAATGGGAGACGCTGTTTCATCGCGTCGTCACGCGCGCAAGAGTGGGAGAGACCGGGGGGATTTTGCAAACAGGCAGGATCTCGTTTACCATCGAAAAAGCTCGTCTCTCGCGTAAACGCGTGCGAGATGGAGGAGAACGCGACAGGGAGGGTAAAATACTGGCAAATATTTAAATGTGTTGGCAAACGTGCATGTGAGATATCTCGAGGCACAACGTGAAATAGTTACATTTCGTTTTATCCAGGATCGAGCGTACGGAAAACAAAAAAAGAAATAAAAAACGAATATCTTTTATTGTCTGGTAAAATTGTTTAGACCATCGCTCGTGTTTTTTCAATTTCTCTTCTTCTCATTTTTTTTTTTTTTTTTTTGCACTTTTATTTTAGTACCGCGACAACGCGATGAAAAAAGAAAAGAAAGAAGGTTGTACGGAGAGACTTTCAAGTGTAATAATATCTCATCGGGAGAGCTCGCCAGAGAGTAGAAGCAATTTAAAAGAACCAAGGTGTCTGAATGTTCCGCATTTCATTTGCAAGATATGTGTATAAAGTTTGTACGGTTTCCAGTAGCCGAGAGGAGTTGTTGTTCCTTTCGGCCTTGAATTCTTCGAAGATCATGAAATAAAGATCTACACAGTCTACAATGGAGCTTATTAAATCGTACGTCGGAATAGAAATGATACCTCGCATCAAATTCTCTTGAGAAAATTACGCAGTGCAACAAGCGTAAAGCTTTATTTCCATAAATAATCCCATTCAAATCTTCTTGAGTTATCACGGTCGAGATCAGAGTCTATTAAACGTCTAATCAGAAATTTCACTTACAAACGCGTTTATAGTTTCTGCTTGCATTAATTCGTCGATGATGGTTCGTCAATTTGACGTTGGTGCAGACTGTCAGAAACTGCTTGAATGCGCGACGATCGTCAAACCAACGTTTTCGTTTTACTACTTCCGGTGCCGAAAGAATCGTCCGATTGGAATTGCGGCGACGGCGCGGCCGTTAAAACGCATTTCCGGAAACCGATCGAAATTTCAGCCGCGAAACCACCACGCGACTTCTCCGCAAATTAGAAAACCGCCAGTTGTTTTGTTTTGTTTTTCTTTTCTCTCTTTTTTTTTTTTTCGTGGAAAGCGGAGAGCCGGGTTGGAAATGAAACGAAACGCAACGACAGAGAGAGAAAGAAAGACCGAGTCGCGGTTTGTTCACGGTTGGCAAATTGAACGGTTGGAAAATTCACGAAGTTGTCCACGCTGAAATACTGAAAAACGAACGAGGAGTCTCTCGTTTCCCGATTTCAGTTGTATCGATTCTCGGTTCGATCCGGAGTTCTCTCTCGAACGTTGCGGGGCTTCGTCTGAGGTGGGAAAAAACAACAAGAACCTTGAAATCCCCGTCGATTTACGACTGCACCGCGGGTCAAATTCGAATTTCACGCGTTTCGTTGCGCAACGTTTCTTGAGACATACGTTCTTTCGCGGATCCTGCGCGTGAAAATGGCGACCACGCCGTTTACGACGTGTCGGCGCTATTATCGTTAAAATTCCTGTTCTCAACCTCGGCGCGTGCAAATTAAGACATAAACCATAAAATTTTGTCGCCCCGACGAAATTGAACGATCAATAAAATTTACACCGTACAGGTTTTCTTATACACCACATGTATCAACAGGATTTCGTCAAATTAGAATTGATTTTCAAAGTGATTTTTATGAAATTTTGACAGAAATTATCGCTATTAATTGCCTCTATTTTTCAATAATCCATTCTTAAAGGTTCGCACGGTAATACGAATCGTGCATTCGACGATCATCTCGCCGCGCTACCTACTCCAAAACCAGTGAGATACCAGAGCTGCGTGTTTCATACCTCGCTCCACATCGTCAAACCACGTACATCCAATTAAGTCATCCAGCTATGCGATCCTTCCCAGGATCACCACTTCAAAAATCGCTCGATTCCTCCTTCGCATCTATTTTACATAACTACACCTGTGCCGCGACTTTTTACCCAAATTCCAAAGTTCCCACCTGATGAATTCCTCCTAACCCGAACACGTGTCATCCACGTTCACCGCTATCCACGCGGTTAAGCAATTCGATCACGTGTAATTTCCGACGTGAGACAGAAATTTCCGTGCGTGAGGACGTGCCAGGCCAGCAACAACATCAGCCAGGTGGCGGCCGAATTACAAGGTTTACGCAAACACGGCTTCAAACGGCACGTCTTTCGACGAACGTAACGCACGTGAGCACCATCGTGCCACGGCTGCGGTAACGGCGACAAGCAACAAGGCCGAGTGTAACCGACAGTAACAGCAACAACAACAGCAACAACAACAACAACAACAACAACAAGGAGAATGGAAAAGACAGAGTCGGATCGTGGCGAGTCCCAGGTGGGAGGCAGCTGCCAGGCGGCCGCAACACCTGCTCCGCTTCGTTCCTTTTTGGACGGACAGGACCCGTTTCGAGGATCCAAAAGGGATTCGCCTATCTGCTCGGCGACCAATCTTCCTCTCGCTCCCTCCTCACTCCGACTTCTTTCATCTGCACGATGATCTTCTTCTCTCTTTTCCCTCGAGAGGAGGGCACCGTTGGCCTCCTGCATGCGGGTGCACCCGGCAGGTGCTGCATTTTTCTCTTGCACCACTTCCTCTCCACCTCCCTCCCTCCCTCCCTCCCTCCCTCTCTCTCTCTCTTTCTCTCTCTCTCTCTCTCATTACTATTATTAGCGTGCTTTTCCTCGACAGCACGGGGCACGACTGACACGTACTCGCCTCATTTCTTAATGCCGGTTAACGAACAGCGTTAAACGGCCCCGGGCGTACCTCTCTCGGCTGAGTTTTCAATAGGAAACTGAAACTGAAACTGGAAGGCTCGTATCGAGCTTTTGTCCCTTCGTTTCGCGATATCGACGAGTTTCAGATCGGAGGCTGGACAATTGTTGTTATTACGAGACTTTACAGGCGGTGCTTCAGTAACACTAATGACCAGACTTGTGAAGTAGATTCAGAAATGTATAAAGTGTCGAAGAAAATTTCTTTTGCGAAATAGAAATTTTCTCCTTTCGTTTCTTTTAATTGTTTAAAAAATTATTCTAAGGCTGTGTCGTTTGATTTTTGTTTCTCATTGGTTACGTGGGCTTCGAGGCGTCTGCTCGTTGCTTCGTTTTCTTGCCTCTTCTCGCGCCGTGGCAGAAAGAACAACGCCGGGCTACCTCATGCGGATAAAAAGCAGGTGTCGCGTTAAATTCCCTTACATCATCCTACTCGACGCGCCATCATTTTTTCGCCGCTGCTTTTTATTATTCAACGGCGGTTCTTACGTACGCTTATCAACATAATACGCTTCATTCTTCTCGTAAATTTTTATACGCTATTATCCGTCGTGCGTATAAAACTCGGCGAGAACGAAATCAGATCTCTCTGTGAACTGAGCTTTCGTCATTAACAGGTAGCGCGTTAACTAAAGATCTCTCGTACGCTAAGAGTATTAAGAGTAATAGCTGCATCTTTTCAATATTTACAATTTTATTATTACGCAAAAACAAAATAGTAAATAGTAATTCGTTTCATTACTTAGGATATTTTGTATACATATTTAATACATCCTGCACATTTTTAAGTTCATCATAAATGCATAAACATGTATAACCCAGCAATTAACATTGAAGTGACTTAGCTCCTTACGATCCATCACTTGGAGGTAGTACAATAATATATGTACAATAAATTCCAAAATAAATTCAGAGAAATAGCGCTCGTGACAACTTCTCGCTCTTCTCCCCTCTTCTATTCAAAGAATCAAGATTAGAACGGTTTTGACCGTGTCTTCGTGAAGAACGGCTGAATCGATTTTACACAGCAACAGAAAAAAAAAAGCAAGGACTTCTACTTCAAAGAACCGTGTCCCAACAACGGGCTTCGAAGCTTCGAAAAATCGCCGTGTCGTGTCCGTCAAAAATCGGAGAAACAGTCGGCGAGCAATTTCAAGCGACGTCCGTCTCTTTTCCCACGTAAAAAAACCCAGGCTGCGGAGTGAAATCAGAACGAACGAGTGGAACGAAGGAAGGAAAGAGGGACGGTTGCAAGAAGAAAACGTGAACGCCCGACGTTGGACCGGCTCGTGGCTCAATTTCGTCGGCGGACGCGGGAAAAAGTGCATTATACGCCGGCACAGCCGTCGAGCAACGTCGTTTTCTTCTTCCATTCGGTTTCTCGTGTGTTCGTCTTGGTAGCAGGCGTCTCCCTCCGTCCAACCATTCTCTCTCACTCTCTCTTTTCTCTCTCTTCGTCGTGTCTCTCTGTCTCTCTCTCGCGTGGCACCCTCTTCTTTCCGGTCCCTTCATCGCTCCCACGTGGCATGAACACCGTCTGTATAAACGAGCACGCGCCACCACCTGCTTCTTATTATCCCCACCTTACTCCGGCTGCAACCGGCACCCCTGCCCTTTCTACAACCCTTTACGTGCAGCTCGACCAGCGTTATTTCACACGCCGTTTTCCCTTCTCGTTTTCTTACGTGTCTCTCCTCTGGCTCCTCCGTGTCGTTCGACACACACGCTCCACACGGTTGTTTTACACCGTTGCCATTCGTCGCTGCTCGACGATGCTCGCTTTGCCAACATCATGTACACGTAGCCGTGCATACGTGCGAGCACCATGGTGGCGAGTTTCGAATTTAAAAAGACGGGGGAGATATTTTTCTGGCTTTCAACATGTCAGTTTAACAGGTTGGGTTGGCACTGAAAATGGAATAGTTGTAACAAAGGGTTCGTTGTATCTTCGTGTAATTTTCAATGTTTAGCGACCAATGACGCTAGGGGCAAGTAAGAATCATTTTCAACACTTACAATTGGTGATCAATAACGTTATTATAGCATTAAGGAGTTTAATGAATGTAAATAGAAATTGTGAGTTTCGTATTATTTTAACAATGTCTACAAATATATCGTCATTGCTGTGTAATATTTTTCTTTTTTCCTAAATATATGTATGTGCTTTGTAAAAGATAAAACCTACAATCGTGTAACAATGAACCCTAATAATACTTAACATATTGGGTACCGAGCAAAGCTTCAAGATTTCTCAAATTTTACAATTTTATATATTCTGCGATCATCTACCATTCAGAGGTCATACTGACGTATTGGGTATTAAAAATTTTTCATAAGCAAAGCTTCAAGATTTCTCAAATTTTGCAATTTTATATATTCCACGATCATACTGATTAGATTAATTGAAAAAATAAGGAACACGATGATACTACAACATTTCTGGAATTTGCGATTATCTATGTCATCTACAGGAGTGAGTGAATTTTTTTCAGATTGCGTGTTCACACCAATCGTGCTTTCGAACGATTGAATTTCAATATTTACGAAAAATATGGTATTGATTCATTTCCTTTCTTCATACGACTAACAAACATAATTCATACTTCAATGTCTCGCCGTGAATGATTATCCTCGTAGCATTGCTGAAGGCGGCGAAATTAAACAGTAAAATTAGATCGACATGTGGACAGATAGATCGTTAATATTCACGAAAAATGCCAAATGCCAAGTGATTTAAATTCGCGACCGATCGATTTCCAGCTATTCGACTATTTCGAGATGTGTGTGCATGTGACCTTTGCCGGTTCTTCCGCTAAATTCACTTTATATATCTATAGTCCATCGTTCCACGTTGATTCGTGAGTATTAGCACGATTTTTCCTTTCACAAATCCCAATTTTGATCACCTGCCCGTTAAATCATCCTAGTTTCTTCGCGTACAGCGCAGCGACTCGCCGCGCAAAGACTGTTCCCAATTTATTTTTTGTCCTGTTTGCCGGAGGAATTCCAATCTCGTTCGCGAGGGGGGCTCGAGTTAATTAGTAGGGAAAGTAAACAGTGTTCGAAAAGTCGTAATTAGTTCCAGAGTTATTTCCGAAGACAAATGACAATCATTTCGATGAAGTAAACTTTCGCGACTCGGTCCTCTTCCTCCTCTCTTAATTGAAACACTGCTACTTTAACTCATAAAAAACGAATATATTTTGTATTAATGGCTTTTCATGGACAGTTTCGCGATCGCTGGATTCATCGAACGTTCTGACGAAATGGTGAGGCCTGTTTTGTTGTTGCAACTTGAGCCAACAACGTTCGAAAATATATTCTACCTTGCCATCAGAAGAAAGAAATAAAATTAATTCAACAATCACTCGTAAGAGCAATGAGAATTTTGGAAATACAAGTTGAAAAATTTGCAACAATTTTGACACAATTTTTTAAATTGTCTCGTCAACATAATATGCTTCATTGATTTCAAAAACTAATTATTGGCTCAACTTGGACATTAGCTGCGACTGTAGACTGCGAATTGTTACCAATTCGTGAAAAGTCAGTTTGATGACATTCGTGAAAATGCACAGAATGCGCATAATATATAAAAGTCTAAAATTCTACTTTTTTAATTATCTTCATGTTGCAAAAATATGAATTTCAAATAAAGATGTGATCGTAAGCTGTCGTTTTACGCCAAATTCAACTCTAAAAATCAAAGGACTGGGAACAGTGAATTTCCTGAACAACAGCGTCACTCTCCCTCAGGGAACTACAATCTCAACAAAAGACGAGGCTACGCGTGCCTGTTCCCTCTAGTATTTAATTGCCACGCCGATCGTCCAACAGCTCCATCGTTTCGCTCCATCAACCGCAGAACGCGGTTCCTTTCCCGGATATATATCGTAACAGTTTCGTCGACGGAAGAAACGCGAGCGATCAGAAACGATCTTAAAAGCTCGTTTCCCCGCTCAAAGCGTCGACCTTTGTCGTCGATCGAAAATAAAAGCGCCCGCTCGGGGAACCGTGCCGACCGATCGAATTAACCTGTGCTGTTGGACGTCGTCCGCGTAAAGGAGCGACACACTGGTCCTCGGTCCTCTTTGTGGGTATCCGAGGCATCGATTCGCTAAAAGGTTTCTCCGCGCTCCAGGAGGACGCGCGGCCGAATCGAAGGAAGAAAGACGATCGGGCAAAGGCGGCGCCTATTAATTTCATTGTCTCTGTCGCGGGGCAACGTGGCGGACGTTAGCGAGGGTTGGAAATTGCCCCTTGAAATATTCAGCAGCCCAGCCCTTGGAACGCTGCGTCTACAGGGAGAGGAGTTGGAACAGCAAGGGTTAACGCGGTGCGGCGGTGTTCCGCCACACGTTTCGCGAAACGTAGACTTTCGTTTCGGCGAACGAGGCAGCGAGCAACAAACGGGCAGAGAAGGGATGGAAAAGGAACGTTGCGTCTCGCGCGAGACTGTGTTAACTGTAACTCCCCTTACGTGGCTGCAGCATCGAATCCTCCGCCTGCCGCGAGGAGCTGCTTAATTACCAGGCTATAAATAAGAGCGTCGCGAAAACGCGAAAAGAGGATAATTAATTCTGTAACGAAGTTGAGAGAGAGCCCGCCGTCGCGATGCTAGAGTTACCGCTTTATAATTAATCGCGCGCGTGTGTGTGTGTGTGTGTGTATGCGCGCGCCGTGAGCCACGCTTGGCTCGGAGTTGGAACAAAGAGACGCGCTCTTCCCTGTCCCTCTTGCCTTGCCTTTTATCGTGGAAAAATCGGAAAATTACAGTAATAGCCTGGCAGATGGATTAAAGAAATGATTGGAGTATAGATATTTGAATTAACGGTTGAAATACAGTAGCGAGAATTTCACCCGCGCCGCGCTCTCTGCTGCCTCCTTCGTACGCAAAGCGACAGATACGGACGCCAGTTTTATTGTTTCACCGATATCGGAACGGGTTTTTCTTGCGATTATTTTATATCGCAGCGGAATATCGAAGCGTCATACGGAAATAACGAAAAAAAAAAGAAGAAAACGCAACTCGGTTTCTTACATGATTCTTGGTGCTTAATTCAATAAAAGTTCCTTGAAAAGTGGTATACACGCGTGCAAAATGAAATTTTCAGCGATCAACTTTTTCGACTCGTATCTCTCGCGGTTGACCTTTTTAAAATTAAACGAAGATGTATGGCGCGACGCGAACAGTTCGAAAGTTCCAACAATCCTAAATCACTGTCGACGCGAGTCGAGGAAGAGGAACAACAAACTTCAACTAGAGTTTTAATCCCGTTTTCTACTAGCCTATTCATTTCTCGTATCAATAGAACTTTGACATGTTAAATAACATGTGTGTTTTAAAGCACGTCGATTTTTTCAGTGAGCTCAGACGTATGTTCGAACAATTCGTAGATTACACAAATCAGTTTGCAGATTTCATTGTCATCAACAGATAAATGATTTCTATATTACTAATAATTACAATATTAGTCAAATGAATGGATTTGTGGGTTTCAGGAAAATGTCGGAAGTTAACTTTGTGGGAAAATTGCAAGCTGCGAAATTCATCTTGCGGGATAAATTTCGAACTAGCTCGTAAATAGTGATTTCTTACGAGATTTAAGTGCATTCTATATAGTTGTGCTCTAATTTTCTGGCATTTTAATTAGAATGGAATCACTAGATATGGATTGTACGAATAAGAGATGTGATATCGGATACGAATTACGGAATATCGAATGTAAGATATAAAATGGGATGCAGGGGTGTAAAATGTAATGTGGGAATAATGGGACGTGGAATATAAAATATGATACATAGAATGTGAAATGATGGACGTAGAATATGAAACGTGAAATATGGGATGTGGGCTGTAGAAATAACGAAATGCGACAGTTAGAATATCGAACATGGGATGTGAAATATGAAATATGGAATATACGACGTGGGATATGGAATGTGAAGTACGAGAAATATAAAATGTGGGATATAGGATACAAGACAGTGGACAAAGGAATACGAGATGTGGGATAAGGCGTATAAAACAAATAGAAGAAAGTAATCGTAAATCACACGCAAACAACAATTAAAAAACAATCTCCAAGATAAGAGAGAGAGAGAGAGAGATAACCCAAGTCACGATGTAAATTACAATATATTTCATCCGAGAGTTCCGCGCGAGTCGACCTCGCAAAATCCCCAGTAGAATCATCGCGTTGAAACTAAGAAAGTCATAGATTACGCCCGGTGGGCATATATTCGATACTGTCAAACTATGCGGCAAGTGCATTAGCGTAAATCATCGGCGGAATATCGGAGCTGGTCGCCGGGATCGGGCGAAACAAAGTGAGAGTCCATCGCGGCACGATCGCGGGTTTGACGATGATCGCGATCGTGGCAACGACGACGATCCACCGCTCGCACCTGAAACCAAGAGGGAAGCGTGTTTACAGCACCTGTCGGGGCTCGTATACGCAATGGCAGAAGTATATTTCACGCTGACAGATGCAACGTTCAATCCATCGTAAATACCATCCTGCAACATCGAACGAGCATTCTCTGAGTTGGAATACATTTCGCGGCTGCCGATGCTCCGTCGATTTTACAGGCAGAAAGAGACCAGTCGCCACTTTGTACGCCGCCGGTACATATTGATTGAAACGTTTCTCGTAAACGTTCGTTATTAAGTTACGTCGATCTTAATGCACCGCCGACGAATTGCGAAATATCTCAAGTCGATACTCCTTTACGACGTTTCACGTTTCGCGTTAGTCGATGCTTCGACGATGAACGTAATACCTCCTCGTAGAGTTTTATTTTTTGTTAAGTCAATCGTTTCTTCAACAGTTTCTTTTTTTTTTTTCTTTTTTAAGAGTTAAATTTTTGGAATTTGTGAAGTCAATAGATTGTGTGGATCTTTGTGCAACTATGTGAAACTTAAGGATGGAAACTGCAACATGCAAAAATATACAAAATATCGAAATTAGAGTATACCTACTAATTGTGCTCGCAAAAATATGAAATTACGTAAATTATGCAATTGTATTAGGAACTGCTATTGATCTATTAAGTCGTTTTTAATTAAAAATTTCTATAGTCACGAAATTGAAAATTGGTAAATCTCTTTCAATCGGTATATTTCAACTATCGTGTATATAATTATATAATTAAATGTATTTCCCAAAATGCAAATTTTTAACATTTTCAACATTTGTAAACAAAGTTTCTTCTTTGTTTCCGAAAACGGTGGAGAAGCGGCTTATTTAGGCAGAATATTGGGCAGAGAAAGTATCGCGAGAGTACAGGTTAAAAGCTTTCGAAATGCAGAAACGTTTCATTTTCCACTCAAAGTTCGAAAGTCAATTTGAAGTTTCGGAACAGTGAACCAATGACTTTGCTATTGGGGCGGCGCGCGGTGCAGCCAGTTCAAGAGTTGAACAAAGTACCCGGAGGATCTTGTAAATCCCAATAAGCTACAAATTTACGGACGTGGCGTGTGTATTTCTTATTGTACGAGTGTGGTTAAAAAATTTCTGTTCTGTTTGACCAACGGAACAAAATCATATTGGAAATCGCGTTGCACGAAGAATAATAAAATATCAATTCGACGATGAGTAAGAAAAGTCGTGAACATGAACGAATTATTTCTATTACAAATTGAGTTACGTAATTGCAATATCCTCGTTCCTAGACTCTTCCATATTTCTTTTATTTTCTCTTTCTGTTTCCGTCGTAATTGCTATCATTTTTCACTTTGTTTTATTGCTTGTTTTATCATTTGTTAATCATGTCTTCTCTTCGTTGTCTCTCTCGTTATTTCAATGTAAGAAAAAGACGTTAAAAATTACGAGAAGAATTGAGAATTCTTCAGTTCTTCTCTCTTTGTTATATTCGCGAGTTATCTCGTTCCGATTATCACTGAAAATCTTTATAATAACCAGGGAACTTGAAAATGAACCTGGCAATCCATTCAACAGCAATTCCAAAAACAATTAACCCTCTCATTAACGCGACAATCGTATTTCTAATGTCTTTGATCATGAGCAGTCGATACTATCCTCCTCAGGAGACTTTATTCTCTTCTTCGTCCAACAAAGTGTACGTACAACGAAAAGCAAAGAAACCAACTGATTCTCCTTCGAGCAATCAGGCTTCGATACAAACTTGCCATTTATAACATCGGCCGGCAAACACGTTTCAACACCGCAGCCAGGACAAAGATTTACTCGATCTTGAAGGCTGATTTACTCTGATCGTCTACCGGAGGAGTGAGTTGTTCAGCTCCCCTGGAGTGCACACTGTGCTAATAAAATAGATGTCTGTCTGGGAAAATGTCATAACATTGGCCGAATTTTTATTTTTCTTAATTTTTGAAGATCCTCAATAATAGAAATT